ATAAAGATTTTGATATGCAGTATTTGCATTTTGTTTTTATTATTTTGCTGCATCAGCAAGTCGTGATGTTTTAATGGATACTGTTGAAAGTGTTCCATACATACAAACTATCCAGCCAGGGCAATCAATCATTCCACCATGTCTAATAATTTATTTCAGTTGTTCGTTTACCTGATGTCTCTGAGGGGATAGTATGTACTGTTTTTACAGTGCATAATACTGAAGTTCACCGATAGCTTCACGCTCTAAGGCTTGTATGCATTAATCAACAAGAAAACATTTGTGAGTTTGCCTGTACATGTACATCTTTAATGCATATCCTCTGTTGTGATAGACAGGTTCTCATTCTTCAATCCTCCGATAGGTGTCGCTTCGCAAGGCGCAGCAACAAGAACGCTAAAAACAAGAAAATATTGTCGAAATAATAGTCCAGATTAAGCAAATTTGTAAACAAACATATTTTAAACCTTTCAAAGTTGAAGTTTCGTTTCCCTTTAAATGGTAACTGATCTGTGTCATCAACCCTGTTGCATAACACCACCACAAAGCACTTATTATTCACTGCGAAGCAGTATGTTGGCGGGTTCGACTGAGAGTGACTGGGCGGTGTACCCCCACTGTGCCCACGATGTTTGAAACAAAATGCAGTCACCCGAAGAACCATTGGGGGATTAGTTATAGTCTGTTTCATGGTGAGTCTGGTGACACTTTGACCACAAGTCTGAATACATTGGTGAACACTCAAAAATATCACAGTCATGTATATATATGATAAAACGAACACCCACTGCATCATTCATCATCATGGCTAATGCTCAAGTTTAGTACATTGATAATGCACAGCGTGGACAAGATTTGATTTATGGCAATTACCCAGATAGCATTCGGACGTTGGCCCAACGTTGGCAATGTTGGCAAAACCATTGCCAACGTTGGGCCAACGTCTGACTGCTATCTGGGTATAAGTTAGGGTTTAAAAACCTAAAGAATAATACAGCCTACTGGATATGCTGTGTCAAAGACCGCCGAGCGACACTAAAACTGAATGAAGGCCTTTTTACAAAGTACAACAACAATTATAACCATGAGGTCGATCTAAACAGAAGTTCTCGACTCATATCAAGGACCTTGTACGAGAGATTCCTAGATCCTAGATAAATTATTATTTCAAACTCATTACACTTCTGTCTTGCTCAGTTAATGCCAGTTACAGTTTATGAATTAAGTATGTAGTTTATTAAGAGTTAAGTAGACTATGCTATATACCACTGCCCACTAGCCTGATCCAGACTATACCCTAATCCCTCTGTTGATTTAACACTGCCCATTTCCAAAAGTGGGCACAGTGGGAGTAAACTGACTGGGCTACCTGATGTGTGGACACCAAACATCAACAATGTTTATGGTATTATCACGGAAACGAAAACGTGTGTTAATGACCGCATCAATCACAGCAATTAGACACAAAAAGTGCTGGATGCCCATCGTATGATGTTATGTAGGCTGTCTGCACAATACTGATATTTTATCATGTCAAGTAATAATGTCATGTCAATTTACCCATGGCATTTTACAAACACTTTGTATATATTTGAAACCATAAACTAACCCCTTGTTTGATAATGCTACAATATAACATAATTTACTAATATTTTACAACTAATAACCTCCGTTCGTATAATCAAAACAGCAACGACAATTCAGGTTTTATAAAATTAAATTGTACACACCACAACGATGACTACATCCTTGCTGTCATCCATGTTTGATCGTGTAAACCTACATCTGTATAATTTTTTGTCAAAGTGTTGCTTCCCTTCACTAATGCTGCTAGATGTGACAATGTATTAATACAGTAAAACATTCGTATACCTAAGAACAGGAAACGTGAAACTGGTATATTTGCTGAGAATTCAACACTCAAATTCATTATACAAATGAGACTCCTCTAAGACAAACTCACACAAGGGAGACTACTCATCTAAGACATGATAACATGGCCGAGCTCTGGCCTAGCACTGACACAAGGGAGAGTACTCTTCTAAGACAAATTCATAATATGGCCTAGCACTGACACAAGGGAGAGTACTCTTCTAAGACAAATTCATAACATGTCCTAGCACTGAAACAATGGGGACTACTCAGTAAGATCCATGTAATGGAGTAACTGATTTTACTGATCAAATTTAGGCCAAAGTTTTAAATACCAACTGGAATATGGGTAAACTGACATGCATTACACATACTGAGTGCAACTGAATAGTTACAGATAATATTACGTACTTGTTGAATGTAACATTTTAACTATAGAGGACAACATAATATAAAACCAGGCTACCGATCGCCAACAACTGAAGGTTGATCACCATACTACGGACTAAAGGGACTTACAGTACCTGTGCTACCTGCATAGACCCTAGTTGGACTTACGCCATCCATTCAGCGATTGTTGAAAAAAATTAGCCAAAATTTAAAAGAACAAAAATACTAGTACGTTTTAAAAATCTGGTAAGCTTAAATTTAACTTTGAATGTTTTTGGACTTGTGTACCCATTCAGGAGGACAATAATTTTACAATATTTCAACCCCCTTTGAGGGTACAGCCACTATCAATCTCAGTTGCTAGTCAAAACTGCCAATAATAAATATTTATCTATTTACAAACTATTCATCAACAGTTATCTAATACTTCTATTTCTTTTTTTACAGTACTAAAAAGATCCTTAACAGTGTCTACAGTGAAATACTTATCCCTTGTGATGAAAAAATCAATACAGTCAAGCAAGACATGCTTGACCGCGATTCTCTCATCCCAAGGGATACAAAACAGATGATCCTCACCTTTTAACAGGTATTCATGAGTATATATCTAGTATGGCCAATACGACACCGTCGCATAATGACCACTTCAAATCTGGACTGACAACCCAAGTAGGTGTAACCAATATAGGGTTTTATTTCATGTAATTTATGTATACCTACTTGAGTGTCCCACTTCTGCATCAGTTCACGGATGTAAGATCTAATGATAGCCTTGAATCAGAGTATGGAATGAGAAGTGGTGTCACAGATTTGTTGAGTGCTGCCTTAGCATCATGATCGGCCATTGTGTTCCCAGAAATGCCAACGTGGCTGGGTAACCAACAGAGGACGATGTCGTATTGGCCAGTAGACATAACAAGATTGTTTTAGACATAACAGAAAAAGGTTTGTTCATTCTTGTACACGACGATTCTTTACTTCCTTTTATCATGTTTATACACCGCAGTGTTAATATTGCTTGTCTTCCTCCATGTTGACGGTTGTTGGTTCAAGCTAAACCATGATTGAAAGATTTCCTACTAAATTCACAGTACTAAATACCACCCAGAAATATTCCCCCAAGTTACACAACAAATGCTATTCAGTAATATAAATTATCCTCAGATTATGTGTTTGGGATGAAATACATATACTTTGGCTCTAGTTGATACAAACATTACAAATACTTGTGCAATGTAACATGTTTAGCTTGGAGAATTCTGATTAATTAATTCATGACAAGGTTTTAAATTGATTATGCAAGAACAAAAGATATTCCTACATGTCCAAACACCCCACATATAAGGATACTGTTCACGAAGAACAGTTAAGCAACAAAAACCCAACTCCAATTCAGGTAAACTCACGTGTTCCTAATCTGGAAATAACTGCACATTTATGGCTTAATTTAACAGGTTTAAGTATATCATGTAAATATAATATATATATATATATATATGTGTGTGTGTGTGTGTGTGTGTGTGTTGCGTACTACATGATTTGTAACTACAAAATTGTACTTACAAAATTTGGAAACCCATAAAAGTGTCTACATTACTTCTTGACAACTTCACCGCAGCGAAGCACATGGCAAACCACAGTTCCGACCTTTGGAGTTACCTCCCTTGCCCCCTGGGCATAAAAAATGTGGATCGCAATCCGGAAAAAGTTTTTTTTTTTCAGTGACAATAATCATTATATAATTCAATGATTACTATCAAAAGTGGATGTTGACGAGAGACATTTGTAATTGCCTGAAGGAAATGATGTTTACAGATATTACACATGCTGTGTCTAATTGCAAATAGCCAACATGTAAAATTACTTGCTGAAAGTAATAAGAACGGATTTGGCATATCTGGCTCATACTTACTGGTCGTTATACAACCAGTGTTTGGATGACTAGATGACAGAAAAGACATTATATGGTGCCTGCTATATAAATCAATCTTGACAAAAGGAGCATCCAGAGTATGGCGATGGATTAAGTTCCCGAATATAGGTTGGGTACACACAGTCTAACAATGTTCCTATATGAACTCATTTCCTTGGTCAAAACCAAAGTGTTGCACACACCATATCTAGAAAACAACGGGAACAGATCACATGCTACGGTGAGGGCATTCTGTCAGATGAGATAAACTTAAACCTTTAGAGTGAATTATATTACTGATTTTGTTTGTTTTTTACTGTGAATAGAACTGAACAGGTTAACGAGTCGTGCATATTATTTCACTCAGTTAATAAATAACTAAATATATCAGCAATGTCTCTGGCCTAGGGTGCCGGCTGTCCCACATCAAATCACATGGGTGATCTCTCAGTGATGGCTGGAAAGAAGACGAAGTAGTTCATGTACTGGCATTCACTTCTTCAAATACAGGCATTGCAACGTGTGCTGGGAAAAGCAAGGCGCACACACGCTATGAAATCAAGGACAACACATGGTTAAAGGCACACACATGAGGAAGATCGAAATCGGTTCTTCTGGCGGGTGTATGTACATGTTGAACTGGCAAGAGGCGAACAGCAATAAGAAAGTAATTACTATTAGACATGATAGTTACAATTTATCATCAAAGCATTAATGTCTGTTCTGGTCAAATGCTCCAAAACAAGGTCAGCCAGTAGCAAATTGACTATTAGAGTCACAGTTCACAGTTAATCATCAATCATCGTCTGGACATTTTGGGTGTCTCTTCAGACGTGTGGCTGGTCGCGTAATGTCACGGTCATCCAGAGTTACTGTGGCAACACAACTCTGCCATCACTATTGGGATGAATCTTGGAAACTCTTCCAACTAACAATGTGGCACGCAAACTTTGTGGATCAACCAATATTAATCACTGCAGTCAATGTGTTTCTGATCCTTCTTATCAGAAACCCATTTGCTTCTTAACTGCATGTCTGGCAAGTGACGTCTCAAATGGTGCTTCCAAAAGTGTTCTGCAAGGTTTAGACTATGGCGATGTTCCTATGATTTCGCTGTCAGGATAGGCCACCTGTAGAAGGGATTGATAGAGGCGTCCCATAAGCAACACATTGGGAGTAACGGGATCGATGTCAAGCACATCACTAGACACATAACCTGTGGTGCATTTACCACGAACTAAATACGGAAGTGTACCACTTGATTCCCTAGGGTTTCACTCGATTACACATACCATAATATCGAGGTTAATTGATCACCTGATGGTCACGTCATTCTAAATATACCACAATTCCTCCCTGCTAAATTTAGAACTTCTAGGATATAAGGATATACAAAATAGAAGACAAAATATTTGTTAATTTACACAAGCATGCACGCACGCACACACACGCACACACACACACACACATATATATATATATATATATATATATATATATATTGTAACAAGTACAAAACAAGTGTGTAACAAATACAAGTGTGTAAAAAGTACAACATATACAAATTGTAAAATGTTCTGGAAAAGCAATTTATTTTAATATGTCTTGTCGTATGTTCCTGTTTGGAATCAATTTATAACACCTGAAACAATTGTACAATTGTCAGTGTAAAGGTTTACATTTTCACAAGTCCATGATTTATTCATAGTCACCACTGGGACATTGGTCAAAAGTAGTTCCTATGCAAAGTAGCCAAGTCTTAAGGAGGTCAGGTCTGCTGCCTTGTCCTTGTTTTACATTGGCTGAAGATGTGCAGCATCTTGATTGGATGTTGAATTTAGTTTGCATTTGGAAAGTGTGAAGTTTGTTCACTTGCTGTCTTTCTCCCAACCTGTCAAGATGGTTTGAAAGTCATGGATGGAGGATTTTGACTTTGGTGAATTACAAGTTAGTTACACTTGGTTTTATATAAAAGGAATAAAATACCAAAATATGTTAAATTGTTGAAAGGTTAATTCAGTATTTAATGTAGCTCAGTTTATGCATTTGGTGGAGGTATATTTTAACCTATGGTTAGAAATTGTTGGGGTCAATACTTTCACTTACAATTGATTCAGATTAATGTTTGAGTCCAAACAGATTGTATGTTTACTTTACTGGTGAGAATTAGCATTTCAATGCTAATTAAAACATACCTATATTAGTTCCTTGGTGTTTTGTTGGTGCCTCACAACATGTGGCCAGTTTGAAACAAGTTGTACCATAGGTATATGTATGTATACACACAAAAGACAAAATTCTGAAGATCCTTAGTACAGAAATAATTTCTTCAATTCTAACCGGTTTCACACTGTCAATGTGATCGCCATGAGAATGACGTTGCTATACTCTGTGTGAAACCGTGTTGCTAAGCTATGACGTCACTTAGCAAAGATGTCACTAAGTTATGACATCACAATACAAAGGGCACGGAGCACTGCATAGAGTGTGCGTCTTAAGTACAATTTGACTGACTGAGTTTAGTTTTACGCCGCTTTTAGCAATATTCCAGCAATAACACGACGGAAGTACAATTTGAAGTCATTAATATACAGGCAGTGATATATAATTAACTTCATTGTATACAGATGGACAAAGTCGGGTTCTACTTTGTACAATTAAGTTTAGGTCTGAACAGTTTGATGAAGTAATTTTCTTTTATTTCTATTTATTTATCACTGTCCGACAATATTTTGTAAAATGGGAATATTGTAAAGTCTGGTATTTTGTTCCCAGCACATCTTTCTACATGTCCACTAAGTGGAATACAGCGACAGGAGGGGTCCCGAATTTGCTGTTTGTGAACTCTCACTCTTGAACGCAGGGTGTCTCCCGTCTGTCCGATATACTCCTCGCCGCATCAACTGCACTTTATGACATACATCAGATTCTGAGATGCGCATGTCATATTGTCATGTACTTCGAATATTTGACCAGTTTTGAACTGGTATATATTTCCCTCTATTAGATATTGGCATGTACCACAATTAGGTCGCTCGCATTTAGTTACAGATTTTGTGTCTTGACTAGATTTTGTAAAGTTTGCCCTCGTTACAATTTGGTTGATACTCTTACCCTGTCTTATGCTTTTAGTTAACTTAACCTGTGTCAGTTTATCTTTTAAAATGTCGCATTTTTGTAAAGGCAGGAGAGTTTCACCAACTTTAGTAAATAGTTCAGGATTTCGAGGGTTAAATGTGGATAGAACTGGAAGGACATTTTCATGAATTGTTTCCTTAACTTTTAGCAGTTTACTTCTGTTCGGTTGTTTTGCTTTAACTATAGCATCTTTAACGATTTGTCTCGGGTAGTTTCTTTGTAAAAGTAAATATTTCAATTCATTTAGCTTGAAGTCTACACGGTCTGGATTTGAAACTATGGTGCATATTCTTCGCGCTAAAGAGTAAGGGACACTGTTTTTTGTGTGGCGTGGGTGACATGAATTGCAGTCTAGATACTGTTTTGAATCTGTTACTATATAATATATGTCTGTTTCTACAATGTTGTTTCATATTGAAACGTGTACATCAAGGAAAGGAAGATGTTTACTGTTTATCTCTTTTGTAAAATACAAACATGGGGTGTACATTTTGAAGGATGTTGGAAAGGGATTCCAAATCACTTTCACTTCTTTTCCAGGGTATAAAACAGTCATCTAAGAATCTTTTCCACTGAAATTCTGTATTAAATGGTTCGCCAAATGTTTCTTCTATTTCAGGATATAACATTTCCTCTAAATATCCTAGAACCAGGGTAGCATAGGTAGGAGCCATGCTTGTGCCCATTGCAGTACCTTTCACTTGTCTATAATGGGAACCATCAACATGAAAAGTGTTATTGCTCAGAATGAACTTTATGCTTTCGGTAATGAATTCTTTAGGTATTCGATCTGGAATTACAGAAGGGCGTTTTTCTAGCCAATAGCTGATAGCTTCAATTCCAAGATCATGTGGAATATTGGACTTACCGATTTTGTACCTTCCTCTACTGATTCGGGGAGACTATTCGGTATCTTCCCATAAGACAGACCTCCCAAAAGACAGACTGCTTAAAACAACACTTTTTATGGTTGGTTGCATAAGGCTTAATTAAGCTGTACCCTTGATAATTATGGTATGTGCCCATATAAATAAGAAAACATTAAGTAATAAATATATAGTTTTATCAATTCATGTGATGAATTATGATTTTTGAATTAAGACATCAACATATATTTGCCAGATCACATTTACTTGTGAATATTATCAAAAACAATAATTGTGTTTATTATCAAAAACAATACATGTACTTGTTCTCCAGTTATATACTTTGTTTATACTGAATTTTATGAATACTATTTCACATTTATCTTCAGTAATAAAAACATCCTGATCTCTGGTTATTTGCAAAAACTAATTCAACAACAACTGTTATAAAAACGTCCTATTCTCCAGTTATTTTTACTTGTATTATACTTGAATAAATACACTAATTTTATGAGTTAGGTTCAAATGTGGTTCAGAGAAACATGTGGTTCTGGGATGGGACATACTCTGCTCTTCTTAGGCCAGCTCATTAATTAAATAGGGGTGGACAGCATGGCTCATTTAGTCTGTCTTATGCGAGGTCTGTCTTTTGGGAGGTTTGTCTTTTGGGAGTAAACCGACTATTGAGAAAATCATTAGTATCCCGTAAATAGCTTTTGACGTGTTTGGTGAGAGGTTTTAGTAGTATATCTACACAATTGCTTAACCTATTTGTTGGACATTGTGGCCCCGCAATAATAGGCCGTAATTTTAAATCATTCGCAGGTGGTAACTTAACTTAGGGGGATGAGAGATTTTTACATCCTGAGCTTATAACTGCACTTTTATGAATTTTAGGGAGTCCATAGAAGTTACTTTCCTTCGATTCGAAATTAATGAGGTAATCTTCTTTTTTTTCTGTAAGATTACTGGAATATGAATGAACTAATTTTTTTAAGATTTAAAATTACTCTTTTGTCCGAGTATTCTGGAAGCTTTTTGTAATATTGACTATTTGTAAGAATGCCTAGTGACAGCTGCCGATACTAGTCGGTGTCCATGATAACTGTGACTCCACTTTATCGGCCTGTTTAATCAGCATTGAGTCATTTTTCGACAATGAGTTTAAGGCTTCCTGTTCTTTACCCGAAATGTTAGATCTCCCTTTATAAGAACGTTCTGTGAAAGGTAATTCCTTTAATTGCTCAATTACTTTACCAAGGGTTTTATTTTACCAGCTTTAGGTGTAAAGTTACTTTTGTTCTTAGCGAGCGACACATCTTCAATTCCTGTATCAATTCAAAATGGTCTAAAAGCCGTAACTTTCTAAAAAGTTCCCTGTGCTCACCTGGACCCCGTTCCTCAAAGCGATCGTAACCCTAAGACTATCGTAACTCCCATACTTTAACATAGACTTACGACAGTCGTAGCACTTCGATCGCTTTGTGGAACGAGGCTCAGGGCATTTCTGTCATTTTTGTCATGTTCATTGTTTTTCACACCAGCTGATAAATTGAGAGAGGGAGTATTCTTTAAAATAGTTATTTAATTACACACAAAGGCTGTTTGAGGATCTCCGGACTTATCTTGAGGAAATACAGACATTCATTCATTTATTCACCAAAGTGGTGAAATATGTTACGTCTTTGTGATATTAATGATGAACGCAGAAATACATCAGTACAAATACATAAATCTTACCAAACACTGCAATTAATTAATTGGAATTATCAAAGTACAATCAGTTGGCAGTAAATCTATCCACTGTCGACCAAAGACGATTTGAGCCATCCCTTGTCAGGCTGTTACATCATAACGTCGTGTGACTTTGGTCCTTGAAAGACGACATTGTCATCAACGTTCTATCTGACACCATACTGCACGTGCCTGAACTACGTCCCCTGCCATTAACATTGATATCAATATGTAGATTTTACTTAAACCAATGAGTGAGCGAATTAATATTTAACGTCACATCGGCAATATTTCAGCCATATCGTGACGAGAACATTTGATATTGAAATGAAATATATGTATGTTATAAAAAACCTCCCGACGAAGGACAGGAAACAACTAGAATATCACAGATATGTATGTAAAACTAGTAATTAAATCTAAAACGTTTTAACTATAGGGGAAACACAAAACAGTATAAAAATGGGCTATAAATCGCCAATAACTGAAGGTAGATCACCATACCAGGACCCATGGGGACTTACATAACTTTAGCTACCTGCATGGACCCTAGTTGGATTTACACCATCCCTTCAGCCATTGGCGACAGAAGAGAAATCTAGCCATAAATTAAAAGCACACATATTCTACGATTGAAAACGTGGCAAGCCTAAATTTACTCTAAATGTGTTGGGACTTACGTACCCTCTCAGTAGGACAATAAGTAACAATGCTTCAACCCCCTGTGAGGGTACAGCCACTAACAATCGAAGTTGATAATCTAAACTACCAATTATAAAAATTTATCTATTTACGAAACATATATCAAAATTCATTTAACAGATCTATCTTTTTTAAAAAAATCATTGATTACATGATAATTAATAACATTACTAAAAAGGTCCTTTACTCTTTTGACATTAAAATATCTATCCCTTATGATGGCGAATTCAACACAGTCAAGCAGGACATGCTTGACCGTAGTTCTCTCATCACAAACTTAAACCAATGAATCACCTCAAACTACATGTAAATATTTCTACTGTCTACTAGGTAGACTACCACAATGAAAAACATGAAGACTACTCCTTTGTTCTCATTGTCTTGTCCAGTACCGGGAAAACCAAACTATTTGTCAATAAACCTTGTTTTTATCATTACTGATTTGAGCAGAGATACATTTAGAGTTCTTAATAATCAGCAGATATGACTCCCCCGGACCATGATGAGGGACTAGCCACGGCAACGTGGTGCTTTCCTTAATGGCATATGTTGTCAGTATGACCAATAAACGCACATGTCACCTTTTCCAGTCACAACACCTCAACACAACGTCCACGCACAAAATCATGAAATAAACAACCAGATGTGACCAGATGCTCCAACACCAAAACTTTACCGCCATTGTTTAGAATTTATGATCTGGCAATACCTGTAATACGACATGCCCTCATTTATGTTTATCGAGATTTACAACATTAAGCTTTGAGCTTGTTTACACCCATGCACACGATTCACCGTCAACGTGTTTAATGTGTTTTGAGTTATGGGATGGGAGTGGTGTGAGTTATGCAATAAATGTATCTATATATTCAGGTAGGATAGCTACTGTGACTGCAACTGAAGCACAGTTACGCAAGTCAGAAAAAGATGTTTGCCGTGCTGCTCTTCGCTGTGATGTCCGCTCTAACTGCTGGGGCAGGTAATGTGACTTGCAATCAGCTTTTCTCTAGTTCTGTTTAGTGGGGGGCGGTGGATTAGCATATTGGTTAAAGCGTTCGCTCGTTACGACGTTACAATGTGTGAAGCCCATTTCTGGTGTCCCGTGATATTGTTGGAATATTGCCAAAAGCGGCTTGAAACCCACATTGCGAGAATAAGTTATGTATAGATTACATATAAAAATACTGTAGTGCGGTTATAAGTAAAAGAAAGCCTTACCTATGGTGAAAGAACCTGAAACACATGATAACATTATAAATAAGGACTATAAAAGGTGCATGGTTATAAATATCGTAGTCTTTCCACAACAGAAACTAATATACCATTCATCCTTTACCAATCCTTTAAATAGGTGCACTAATACACTGAATTCTAAGATGCCTAGCGGTTAGAACAATCGAAAAAGAAATACATTATCAGACAATAAAGGTATAGTATTTTGATGACGTAACAATTGAATGACTTTATCCCGTCACTGCGCCATTCTAGTGTGCCCCCTCGTAATCGAACCATTTTACATTACGTCACAATGTAAGCGACGTCACGATGCATGTCAGTTGTCATCGCCTCGTACGGCCTCCTACAGTAAACTACACCGTTGCATCCAGTTTCTTGGTTTGCTGTTGCTTCACGCAGCTAACATCACTGGTGGAAACATTCCGTTTATGTTTTACGACGGTTAAAATGTGTCATTTCGACTCACACGTTTTCAGCGACACGGTACCGTTCGTAATGTTTACATTCCCACAATGCAATTGTGGAATGTCGCTTGACTACTCAACTTCCTCTGGATGTACTGATCTAAACTTACGCTGTTAGTAGAAATGCAACGTTCATATTGCCCCATATGGTTTACGTTAATGACAAATGTAATTAAAATAATTCAGAGAAGATATTTAATCCGAACGTAAACCGCCATCAAACTGTTATCATTTGTTTTTTTCTGGTAACGTTCGTCTTAACGTAGGGGGCAGACACATCAATAGAAGAGCGCGCCAGTTAGCCCTGTGCGAGGATTCTTAATTTCGGTCACCACCACCAGCGTCCTCGTGCTTTAACTATTATAGTTCAGGGCAAAAGTGTGTTTTATTACACTATACATGGTGGTAGCGCGAAGTGTATTTCTTAAATATACAGTGGTAAATATCGTCGCCTGAAAACCAGAGTGTACTAAGTCACAAAAAACTATTTTCGAGAAATTCTATCTTGAAGTTTAGGACAACAATATCTTCTAAACTTTTCAATCGAATTCTTTCAAATTTTGCACATGCATGTGGCATGTTAAACAGTATTAGAAAATATCAAAGTATATGCTCGAACTATTGAAATAAATATGAAACTCACGAAAAATGATTGGAGATAGAACTCTTGACCAAAGAAAATCGTGATTTTTCTCAAAGCCAAAGTGTTCTAAGTGTCAAAAAACACAGCTAAAACTCAGCTTTAATATTATTATATCGATATTTGTTATTTCTTCATTACCAGGTTGTATATTGTCGTTTAAACCTGTTTTACTTTCATAAGGACTATATTTAATTAAATAAAGCAGAAATAAGAATAGAGTTAAAATGTTCCATTTCCATGATGACAATCACTTCAAAATTGGTAAATCTCAATGTCACGTGATCAAATTGTGCTTGCTCATTGGTCAATTGACAACTTAGAACACTCGAAAATTAACAACATGTGATTTTTCATGGAGATAGAACAAAGTTTGTGTTTAAAAAAACACTTTCAAAGCTAGATAGCACTGTAAAACGTTGCTAGAGTAATAGATTATGCCCTAAAACCTACCCTGAGCATACTAACTCTAATTTTGTCAAAAGTGGACTTAGAACACTCTGGTTTTCAGGCGACGATATGCTGCTCAATGCAAGCTGGACTGTAATACGAAAATTAACATTGTGATTAAACATACTTTCTAACGGCTTTTTGCAGAACGATATATGTTATGGCACTGGACATTATTTCAACTAGAATATATACCACAGGTCTTGCTCAACTGTAAATAAACTAACGCTTACCCTCTAAATAGAAGTGACAAAACCCTTTCAGGTCTTGCTCAACTGTAAATAAGCTAATGCTTACCCTCTAAATAGAAGTGACAAAACCCTTTCTACATTCATAGGAAATGTCAGCCAAAGGCACAGTCGATTGTACAATTGGTATTATATGATACGCAGATATTGATTCAGCATGTTATACTTTCGCAAAACAGGCAGATAAAGCCCTAGGCCCTATTTGTAAAATGTTTCATCGTTTTCCTGATTTATCAACAGACGTGTTTTTCATGATGCTTGACAGTAAAATCTTACCTATTCTACTTCACGGTGTGGAAATTTGGGGGGTGTTTTGGTCAGCAAACCAGTTGAACGAGTCCATACAAAGTTTTGCAAATACATTTTAAAAGTTAGTTACAGAACATCAAATGCAGCTGCTCTGGGAGAGTGTGGATGTACTGCATTGTATGTAAACATTTATACGCGTGTCATTAAATACTGGTTTAAAATTATAAGAACGCCTGAAAATAGATGTGTTACACATTGTTATGCTATGTTGAAAAAATAATTATGTTCACGGTTATGCAAATTGGGTGTCTTGTGTTCTATTTTCACATGGCTTTGGTTTTGTTTGGCTAGCACATGATGTTGGTAATATTGATAATTTTATTATTGTATTTAAACAGCGGTTGAAAGATGTATATATGCAGGATTGAGGTGCGAGTCTACATGAATCCTCATTGTTATCTTCTTGTTGTACATTCAAAACCAACCTTCAGGCAGAGACTTATTTACAACTCGTTAAATCTGCTAAATTGCGCCATGCTTTAACTAAATTTCGCTGCGCATCAACCGGTTTTAATATCCAAGCGTATAGACGCGGCGTTTCTGCTGGTTCCGTAATTCCGTTAACGGATGTAATCTGTCCCTTCTGTAATGATGGTTGTGAAGACGAACACCATATCCTATTAGTTTGTCCTCTCTACCAAAACATTAGAGAGAAGTATATACCACCTTATTACTTTACATACAACACTAAACTTAAATTTACAGGATTTATGTCCAGCCACGATAAATCTGTATTGTTTAATACTGCTATCTACCTGACCAAAATGTTTACACTGCGAACCTATGACCGGGCGCTTATGTCATTATGATTTTCCCATACTAAGCACGTCATTGTACTATAGGCCTCAACGGCCATCATCTACGAAAATAAAGAGCCTGAGTCTGAGTCTGAAATATTGATTCGGCAGCATTATAGCTGTGTGATGTTGTTTGTAACCTTTCCACCCCCACCCCCACCGTATCCCAATTGCATAGGTTAAACAGCCAACCAACTATAACCGTTTACCTAAAAGATGATACACACAGACCATGTAGACGAGATTTAATACAACAATGCACATAACATATTCGCAAAGATTCACAAGCATTATGTTTAAAGAAATGTTTCACAGGCTATATAGAAAACCAAATAAAGACCGCCTCCGTGGTGTAGTGGTTAGAGCGTCCGACCGGAGAGCAGAAGATCGCGAGTTGAATCCCCGGCCGCGTCATACCAAAAGACGATAAAATATGATACTTGTTGGTCCCTGCCTGGCGCTCGGCATTAATGGGTGCGACAAGGACTGGTCGGCTCGGAGTCACTATAATATGTTTGAGTGGAGTATTCATGCTTAACTGCGGCATGGTATCTCAGTGAGTTAGCACTTTAAAACCAGCTTACGTCTAGGTTAGCACATTTAGCCACACATACACACGCATGCATGTCTTCATATGAGGAAAATGTTCTTAAATACGACGTTAAAACCCCATTTCCCCTTACCACCTCTAGAAATAAAACAATACTTACACACATCCATTCATTCGCAAGGTGTGATTATTTAATTATCATTGCAAATATTTAATTCCCGAGTCATATCCTATTTGAAGTTTACATAACATACATATAGTTTGCTTAAAGTGAGTGAGTGAGTTGATATTTAGCGTCTCAGCCATATCGTGACGAAAACAATTTTTAAATGAATGATGAATACATTTTCAAGATTAACATCTGTCGACGGTGGACAGTTAAACTAGTATAGTATCACAGATATTAAGATAAATTTTGAATGTTGTCTTACAAATATATCTCTATAAAAAATAATACAATGTAAAAACGGGCTAATGACCACCAGCAACTGAAGAAAGACCATGGGGACTTACAGTACGTTTGCTACCTGCATGGACCCTAGCTGGATTTAAGCCATCCCTTCAGCGGATGGCGAGTATGCTCCAATTGGTGTATTCCCATACTGCCTACAGTTCCAAACTGCCTACAGGTTAAAACAACATGATACGGTCAAGTGATCAGGAAGTGAATATACCGATCTGACCGTTCTAACACTGCTAAAATGAACTTGACTAGTTAGCTGGTTAATTCTATGGTGTCTTCCCACTCTGCCTACAGAAGTTAAAAAAAATGACAAGTGTTGGTTGGTAGGACAACTTTATTCATTCTGAGAATTCTCAGACTTTACATGGAGACATGGATTTATCATGAAAAACTGATAGGTTTTACAGTCTTTCAGTGGTTTTACAGTCTTTTACTTGTTTTACAGTCTTTTACTTGTTTCACAATTACACACAACTGACAATCTTTGCAAACTTGATGAGATGTCCAGCAGCATCAAGGTACTGACTGAAGAGGCGTTTTTCTGCCGCTCTGGAGGTGCTCCTTCAGTCTCAGAAGTCTCGCATCGAGCTCTCTGTTGAACATTTGCCATTGTGTGATGGATGCAGTTGGCTCCCTTCCTAATTTATTAGGAGTTTAATTAACTGAGAAGATGAGATCTTCTCAACAATTTAGTCCTTACCATATGTTTCGACATAATCTGACAAAGACAGACAAAGCCTGTAACAACGTAGTTAAAACAAGCCTACCCAACTTGATCAAATAGGATTAAGTTAATCCTGCTTTGGAGGTTACAATATAAGCATGCTAGGTGCTTCCCAAAACAAAATAAAACAATATCATTGTACTTGTCTTGTAGTCTTTATTGGATGAGAAGACTCAAAACATAGTATACACAGAAGTAGATGCACAGATATATACTAATATAATCCCCCTAATTATCCCTTACTCCAAACGAAGCGCCCCTTCTTCATTGATACTCGTGCTGTTCCATTATTCTACAGGGCAACAAATCTTTTCCCACGCTGCCTACAATGTTGTTGTTGGGAGTTGGGATGTAGGCAGTTTGGAACTGTAGGCAGTATGGGACCTAACCCTCCAATTTAGCCAAGCAATAAAAGAAAAGATATTGTGCGATTAAAAACCATGTAGTATGAAACCTTGACAGAGATGGGACTTATATACCCCCTCAAATTTTAATCTACTTAAAACCCATTTGAAGGTATTGTCACTTCAGTCAAAGTTATTAAAAACAAATTAAAATTCATTTATCAATTACAACAGAAATTCAAAATTTATCAATTAAATCAATTTCCTATAAAAAAAACAACAATAACTAATTGAGGATAAACTTTGTTAAAACGATCCGATAACGTTTTTACACTGAAATATTTATTGAAAAATCAACACAGTCAAGCAGGACATGCTTGACCGTGATTCTTTCATTGTTTGCTTAAAGAGACAATACAAACAAACTGTATTATTATAATACAACACAATATATATACTCATGCCAAAAATGGTTCTCACCCCTTCAATTTTTTTAATTGGGGAGGGGGGTGACAACCATTATTGGCATGAGTATATATAATGGATACTTAACATACTTATTTTTTTATGACAACTCATCCCTTTGCTGACCTGGGCCCCGTTCCTCAAAGTGATCGTAACCCTAAGACGATCGTAACTCCCATACTTTAACATAGACTTACGACAATCGTAGCACTACGATCGCTTTGTGGAACGAGGCCCAGAGCATTTGGAACTGTCATGTATGACAGATTTCTGAACAAAGCATGCGTTTTCACAATAGCTGTTCAAATGAGCTTCTTGGCATGGGGCCAATCAGAGAGTGACACAGAAGTACAGGTTTAGCGTGTCGTTGCTGACTGGTAAAACTTAAGGAACTGACAACTAATTATTTATACGAAATGTATGTAAAATATTTGAATTTTAAAAGAAACATATACAAAGAACTGTATCGGTCACAACAGAAATTTCAGTTTGATTTGTTGAAATGTCAGTGAACTGTAACTACCGCCTTAAGTTTCGCTGGGCTGTTTATTTATATATGTAAGAGCAGATAAAATGGCGATTACTGCCATGGAAATAGGGCGGTCATCTGAGAATCTTGACATTATTGTTCCGGATCCAATAATAATGGCACCAATAACTGCGTCCATATGTGAAGATATACACCTAGAAACTAATGAAGCAACCCCTGCATTTCTCAACCATGTCAATCCAAATGTAGTTATCATTCGTGTCAAACTTGGTGGAGAACTAAATAGTGAATGGAAGATAATGCTTTTGACTCTTTATAACACCGAAAATGATGTCATTATTCCATACGATTATTGATTCTATAACTCTGTTCCAAAAGTAGAGTGATTATGTCCAATTGGTAACTACGAAAACTATGGATCTGGGGTATTACATGATTTGGTTTGAATAGCCATTTGTGTCCATAAACGTTTACTCCTGAACATCTATGTTAGAATCGGTCTTTGGTAACCCATGCTTGACTTGGTTGACATGTGGTAGCGTATCCCAATTGCCTAGATTGATGCCCATGATTTCAATCATTGGATTGTATAGTCCAGACCCGATTGTTTACAGGCGCAATCATATTGCTGGAATATAACCGAGTGTTGCATTGAACAACAACAAAAACTGAAAAAGTAGCTTACAGGTACTGTGTTCAAAACTGAAGATGGAATGTGTGTTTCTTCGGGATATAATCATATATGTGTAGCTCAGTATACAATGGAACTAGTTCACGGAAACCATGCGTGTAGCTCATGGTGCAGTGTGTGTAGCTCATGGTACAATGTGTGTAGCTCATGGTACAATGTGTGTAGCTCATGGTGCAATGCGTGTAGCTCATGGTGCAATGTGTGTAGCTCATGGTGCAATGTGTGTAGCTCATGGTACAATGTGTGTAGCTCACGGTGCAATGAAACTCTTCGATGAAACCAATGTGTGTAACTCCTTGTACAGTGTGTGTAGCTTATGGTATAATGAGGCTACTTCATGGATACAGTGCGTGTAGCTTGTGATACAATGTGTGTTATGTTGATGGTATGCAAGCGATTTGTGCAGATCATGGCTGCGATGAATGTAGCCCATGTGCACGGTTTGTAGGGATAGTTTTACAGGTTGTGATAATCATGCTATAATGACGCAGTCCATTTGAACAAAAGGTGTATCATACAAAATGAGATTCGGATGTTCCTCTTCCTGATATGACAGGAACAATAAAAAAAATCGACCAAAAACATTGCTGAATATCAATAATATTCTCATCTTTATTCAGTTGTCAAAGTTTATCATTATGTCCCTGATTGTAGTACTCACACTGTAATCACATGTTTAGCAAATATTAACGACACATAAAGGACTTGCGGTAATATTATCGTAATGGGCAACTTAACACTCCTTTGTACTTATTTGTAAACTCGTTTTTACACATTCGAAACAAACTGATGTAATTTGATTGTTATGTGCGGAGAATACACATAATTCCGCCTACAAGCATAACCACATTGCCTGTTGCACATGTGAACAGATCAAGTAATCAGCGTCTCTGTAGCTGCGGTTTACTTCATGAAGTATATTGGCGTATTTGAAAGTCTCCGTACTCGTGCTCAATACCAAGTCCCCGAGGTCATTGCTAACAATGTACCACTAAACACTTAAGAGACCATGGTTAACCACTAAATGCACAGAGGTTCTTAAACCGTTGCTCTGGGTAGCATTGGCACCAATTGCAAAAGACAAACAGTCGTGTCGCAAAATACACCAGATGAACAGATTTAAAATATGCAACATACACATTGCATGTGTTCCGATCCAGTGATCCTAAGCGTCTGTTCAGTGTCGCCATAATCCTGCAAACGGTGCATGGTCCCGTCCTGCAGAGCCGTTCTCTTATCTTGGTGTACAAGTAGCCAGCCATCTTTGTCCCGGCATATGTGGACATCATGTGCCTCAAACCCCTGCACTTCACCCTTATCTCGCAACTCATCATGCTTTACATGAGTTTGAATCAAAACACTATATTAGTACCAATATTATACCAAATAATATGCTAATATTTGTCAGTAAATGTATTTATGCAAAGCAGGATCATATGTCTATTTCTCAAAAACAATGTTCATTTCAGCGGCAAGATGTCCTCTTGGGTTTGTTAGACTCGGTGGGTCATGCTACTTGTTCTCTCCCAACAGTGTCGATGTAGGTTCTACATATTTTTTTAAATAGATATGATTCATATTGTCATTTGAACGAGCATATGTTTTGCTCACCTACATATATTTTTCAATCGTAGAGGACACATTACACAGCAACAAATGTGATTCTATCCATGCGAGGGGGGCATATTATGTTTCAAATACTTCAAAGACCCGTGATGGTCCGGGTAAGAATGTGCCTTCAGTAACCCATGCTTGTCTTAAGAGGCGACCAACGGGATCGGGATTGGGTGGTCAGGCTTGCTGACTTGGCTGAAATATGTAATCAGTTCCCAATTGCGCAGATCGATGCTCATGCTGTTGGTTACTGGATTGTCTGGTCCAGACTCGGCTATTTACAAACCACCGCCATATAGCTGGAATATTGCTGAGTACGGCGTAAAAGTAAACTCACTCACTCACTCAAATACGTCAAAAGTATGGGTCAGCTGTGACATATATGCTCAGTTCCCCTGGGAGTTATCTTTGATTTCAAACGTCGGTGGTGATCTTTAAATGACAAGAGATTGATATGTCAGATTAACATTAATGATGGATACTTATAATATGATTAGTTCTCGTTTATTTAATGGTTGTTTTAAGCAAACTAAATTGAATGACAAATATTTGAATACACATTGCATCTGTTATAAATCGGAAGGATATCATTATTGACATGACATCGACGGGGATAATTATAAGTATCGTAAAATGACTGGCCCCTCTCTCCAAACCCAATTTGTTAGTGCCCATTTTACTGGAATGGTGATATACCTTCAGCTGCTGGCCCTCTATAGCCTGTATCATTTCGTACATACCTTAATAGTGATAACCTTGTTAAGTTGCATGCTAGTTATAAACCTATATCAGTGATATTTTCCTTTGTTGACGTGTTTATATCGTTGAAGCTTTTTAAAGAGTCTTCAAAGTGACGATATGGCTCAAATACTGCCGACGTCACTTTCAATTTGAAATCACTCACTCACTCAAAAGTGTAATGTTTTATCTACGTCGATTATTGAAAACACGACAGACGCGTTAAAGTAGAGGAAATGATAGTGTCCCAACTTAATGATTAGTTTGGTGCCGTTACTTTAGATTTCATTCTCTTCGCCGATGATTTGAATCTAAATATGGAAGCTGGTCTGATTTCGATGTGAGGATATATGTGCTTTCAATTTGTGCGCCAACTCTCACTTCTCCTTAGGAACTACTATCCAAAGTTGAACCTTTTCCATGTTTTGCATCAAACCGCAATACGACAGTATTATACCTTGTCAGTCCTTCTGCCTTTTTTTTTTTTTGGAAGTCACTTGGCCGTCATCGAAAAGAAGACTGAAGATAATTTGATCAAGAGTTACCTGCTCCGACATGGCAAAGGTAGTGTGCTTCAAAAAAATATGTTGTTCTCTTTCAAAAAATTATTTTATCAGCCATACAGCTTCCTTCTTATGACATAACAATGATGAGTATAAAATACTAGTGTGCAACACTAATAGATTTTCAGGCACCTTTTCTCTGCTGGCAAATTGGTAAGACTCTTGTATAACATTCTGTGTGTAGCAACAATAAATGGCCAACGTAAGATTACAAACAGTTAACATAATCGTGATTGTCTGATTGGCATTTGTTATGGTGAGTGTTTCGGCGACTTCTTGATCGGTGGCACTGACCTGAGAGGAGAGGGAATCTTCACCTGGGAGCGCCCTTTGGCGAAGAAACTAGGATACAAGGGGTGGCAGAAAGGTCAACCTAATAATTACAACGGTAAACAACATTGCATGATCATGCGTCAAAAAGATAAGTACAAGTGGAATGATGCACCCTGCCATTACAAGTTCAGGTTCATTTGTGAACGAGCTCTTTAACAATTTTGTCACAAATGTACGAAGAATATGCAATGACAATACCAGTATCTTGCTAAATACAAACGTCTAACATCCACCAGTGTGTTGTTATTTTTCTTTTGAGGATGTCAACATGCATTGTCACGTGGTTAGAGAGTAGTATAGTCCAGATCTGGTAACTGTTACAAACAGTAAATTCATAATACAGAAACTAGGTCTGAAACATGATGTATAGCTGTATCCTGGTTGCTCCAGGTGACACTTCACTCATCTTTCAACATTGTGTCCCACTGGAACTGTTTAGGTAGATGGAACGCTCACCTAACTATGGAGTTTAAATTGAAAATTGGCGGAACATTCGAGCTTTGAACGTTTCTTTCTTCGGAGGCATTACTAAGGAAGGCACGACGTAGAGGTTATAAGCTTTTAATATATACATAGAGAGTATAGCAATAAAGAGTCCAAACAAGGGTTTAGAATATTTAGAACATATTTTGGAAAGTAGGAGGAGTTGTTGAGCTTTCCAGGTTCCGAGTTCTCAACAATAAAGTATGAATAGTGTCGATGATCAAGTACTGGACGTTTGAGATACCCTGATAATAATGGGACAAGCCACCTGGCGTAACTTGGTCCAAATCGATCGCCCAATGACAATGTCAGTTGTCACCCTACCCAAGTGCACACGAATCACAAGGTGGAATATGTCAGACGTTTTTAACGTTGACTCTATATTTCATTATTCTCTACTTTTTTTAAACGATATGTTGGACTTGTGTTGAACAACGTGAAGCTGGTTATCGTTATTATGTTTCCCAAGAACGCTTTACCAACCTATGATAGCAATCAAATTTCAACATTGTTGAAAGTGTATCTCAAGTCAACAGTAAATTGACCTCAGTCTTCAGTATTGACACTTGCAGTTGGTATGTACATTAAGATTGTAGAAATCAATAAAGTTATTATTTACTAAATAAAAGACAATAAATCACTAAAGCATAGTAAAATAACAGATTACAGATAATGACTAAACATAAAAAGAGATTTCACAATACAGACCAATATAAAAACGGGCTACAGATCAATGGAAACTGACGGTAGACCGTCACGATAAGTAACCATGGTTTCTTTTTGGTAGTACAATGCCTATCATCATGTTTAAATTCACATTTTACAACGATTCGCGACTAAGGGGAACACACTTGTTGTCTCAAGTACTTCGTTTGTTTTCTGGCAACTTAATGTCAGCGATGATATTCAAGCGCCTTCTGCTTAAATGCTTAGACAACCAACACTCAGTTTACCAAATACACAAGTAACTTTAACCTCATCAAACTGCCTGTTTCATGTTTACAGACACAAATATGTATCTTAAGGAAGGTTAAAAGCATGGTCGCACTAGTTATTCGTCCCACATAAAGATGACACGCGGTGATAAAACAGAATAACTGTCTAATACTCATTAAACTTAATCATTCATCATAATGGAGAGACTTGGACTGCTATAAATTCTTTTTCAGCTTCACACCTTCCTCAATACCTGTGTGACTAAAAATAATCACTCACTCACTCACTCTCTTCCATACTGGATGCAGAACCAGATCTGCTTCACTTTCCTCCATACTGGATGCAGTGCCAGATCTGCTTCACTTTCCTCCATACTGGATGCAGTACCAGATCTCCTACAGCAACCTCTGTAGTGATCATGAATGCAGTACCACATCTCATACACGTTCCTCAATACCTGATGCAGTACCAGATCTCTGACACGTTCCGCCATAGTGGGTGCTGTACCAGATCCACTACACGTTCCTCCATACCTGATGCAGTATCAGATCTCCCACATTAACCTCCGCAGTGAATGCAGTACCACATTTCATACACATTCCTCCATACTGGATGCAGTACAATATCTCCTACATTAACCTCCGCAGTGAATGTAGTACCAGATCTCCTACACGTTCCTCCATACTGGATACAGTACAATATCTCCTACATTTTCCTCCACAGTGAATGCAGTACCAGATCTCCTTCACGTTCCTCCATACTGGATACAGTACAATATCTCCTACATTTTCCTCCACAGTGAATGCAGTACCAGATCTCCTACACGATCCTCCATACTGGATGCAGTACAATATCTCCTACATTAACCTCCGCAGTGAATGTAGTACCAGATCTCCTACACGTTCCTCCATCCTGGATACAGTATAATATCTCCTACATTAACCTCCGCAGTGAATGCAGTACCAGGTCTCCTACACGTTCCTCCATACTGGATACAGTACAATATCTCCTACATTTTCCTCCGCAGTGAATGCAGTACCAGGTCTCCTACACGTTCCTCCATACTGGATGCAGTACAATATATCCTGTATTAACCTCCGCAGTGATTGCAATGCCTGATCTCCTACACGTTCCTCCAAACTAGATGCAGTACCAGATCTCATACACGTTCTTCCTTACTGGATGCACTACAATATGTCCTACAGTAGCCACCGTATTGAATGCAGTATCCAGATCTCATACACGTTCCTCCATACTGGATGCAGTACCAGATCTCCTATATTAACCTCCGTATTGAATGCAGTACCAGATCTCATACACGTTCTTCCTTACTGGATGCACTACAATATGTCCTACAGTAGCCACCGTATTGAATGCAGTATCCAGATCTCATACACGTTCCTCCATACTGGATGCAGTACCAGATCTCCTATATTAACCTCCGTATTGAATGCAGTATTCAGATCTCATACACGTTTCTCCATGCTTGGTGCACTACCAGATCTCCTTCACGCTTCTCAATACTGGATACAGTGTCAGATCTCCTGCACTGTCCTCCATTCCTCAATAACAAATCGCCTTTACTGAGCTCTAGAAGGCTGTAAGGTTGCTACATTAAATACCAAAGCAGATACTGTCAATATGTTTTTCAAATTGTACTTTCGTGTAACATTAATGCCATACCCCAGATGGAAATTGAAAATGAATACGCTGCATAAAATATGAATAACCTGCCAGAAATCAGACTGAAATATCCCCGGAGATGTGAAATTCAATGTTAAGAATAAAGTTCATTTGCCACCTGCCGCTGAGATATAATATTATTGTTTTGAAACGATTTATATATTTCCTAAATATGTTGGAAAGCGCACGTACAATCTCCAAAACAAGCCCGCAAGATCGTCAGAAATACGTTCAGTTGAACCCAATGGGGCAGTTATGTGAACAAACGCAGGTGCGCGTGTTTGAATCTCTGACCGTTAATGTCATTATCCTTACTGAAAAACTATACACGAGGCAAAATAATCTTTTTCTACGTTCTTTGTACTGTCAATATGACGATGTATACTAGGCGTGATTAATAAAGGATCAAGTGCTATATATGTAAAAAAAGTTTCTCAGAAATAATAGAACTAAGAGTATCATCATAATGTTTAATATGTTGACAAACGTGACACATCGTGACATACAGATAAAACGTTCAAACAGCACTAGCAAACATCAGTTGTATAGAACAGCCCTACTAAATGGAAATGACAAACATGAAGCTCTGATTCATTCAATATCTTGTGTACCCTCCTCGTGGGTCCAAGACAAAGGTGCACCTTGGCCTTATGCTCCTTATCAAGTTCATAACGAAGACGTGTGGCCACACCATCCGCTCTATACCCTGCTGCCTCATGAATTCCGTGGCCCTATGAGGCCCAGCGTTGTCGTCTTGCAGTAAAGAGGGTCGACCACAACAGCCATTCATAGTTTGCAGGAATGGTACTGCTATCGGATCCAGAATCTCGTCTAGATAAGGCTGCCCTTAAACGGTGCTCCTGGATATCCTTACATTGTTCACATAGAAGTGTTCTGTCTGAAGATCTGATGTGTTACGAAATCTGTTTCGTAACACAGTGTTATTCATGTGCCTATCACCTCGGACTGTTGTAACTCTGGGGCGACTTGATCGACGTGCATATTCCACGGACCCATTGGCTTGAATTTTCTGCAACAGTCTGCCAATAGCACTGTGACTCACATTAGCGGACAGCAACCTGCCATTGAGTTTGACCAGATTCCGAAAGGTCTAAATTCTGACCCCTTTCAGCAAGTGTAAAAAAACCGTCTCATTTTAAGCTGCGAGAGAGAGAGAGAGATTTCATCTACAAGCGTACGTGGCAATACAGAAAACAATACTAGTATACATTTGTACAAATAAAGTGAGTTGTACGTGTAACATATCAATCATAACAAGGCAACAGAGGTTGTCTGATGAAATACACAATCGATGCAAATGCTATTGTAATGTCAGTCCAGGTTTGAATCTCTATACATTCAATCGGGTAAGTATCACCTTCAAACAGGAACGACAACATGTCGTGTTCATCCAGCAATTCAAATTTGACATAGGTTCACATCTAGTTCATTTATTAGCTAAGAAAGAAATCTGTTTCTGCTTTGCAGAAGTTTCTGACAGTGCAATAGCACATGACAATCGTATTCATGAATACGCATGTTTATCACAGAGTGTACATGTGTTAGAAAACAGTATTTCGGAATGAAATGAAGTACACTGTTCAGATGTATACGGAAAAGCAAGAGTAGCTCTATTGATAAAGATAACAGTACCCAGAATGGAATTGACGGCAGCAACATTATCGGTCTGAACAAGTGCTCTTATCCTCAAAGTAGAATTCCCCGATTCGATTTGTACTACTGGACTAACAGGATGGCAGTGATTCGCTATATTTCAAATGAAACAACATGCTTCCATACATTCGTCGGAAGCCGTTATTCGAGACAAGACAAGATTCTACAGCCTCAGATTTTGCTGTATGACCAGCAATTCCTTTGGAAATCATTGAGTGAGTGAGTGAGTGAGTGAGTTAATATTTAGCGTCACATGGGCAATATTTCAGCCATATCGTGAACGTAAACACCTGTCATCGAAGGACAGTACACATACTAGAGTATTACAGATATGAAATTAAACCTAGTACGCTATCGTAAAATGAAATCACTACAGACAGTGCAAAAATAAAAAACGGGCTATAGATCACCAACAACTGAAGGTAGATCACCATACTAGGGTCCATGGGAACTT